TTTATGACGGAGACGGAGTGCATCTTCTTGAGAGGTAAGGAACCAACAGTTTGCATACAGAAAAAGCCAGATCTGTAAAACAAATGTGCATGCAAAACTCAAGTTCCAGAACAAGACTAAAGTCCAGAAGTGGATGAAAGCCAGAAAACTGCACCAGAGTGAGCAGCCGGTGAATGCGAAGAAGAAAATGAATTACAACATTCATACCATTGCAAATGTGAAAGCTGCTACCAAGTGCTTATCCAGCAATCAAACAGTGTATAGGAAGGAGCTTTCTTTTAACTTCCTTGTTCCAATATGCTTTTTATTTATACCTGTTCGGACCCAGGATTTCACACCATACATCATCTGTGATTATTTCTGTGATCTAGACAGGGCAACTCTCTGTATCTTTGGTCTTTTGTTTTAAATTGATAATAATGTTTTTGGTTTGTTCGACTATCACCATACAAAATGCTCCAGTTGTGATAGAAGTAAAGTAAAAAAAAAGTAAAGATCCCTTTTCACGCCTTTCGGCGCATCGGGCATATGGGCAGAGCGTCCCATATTTTTACAGACCATCAGCACTCTGTGGGTAATGTGGTCAGCATTACGCCGGCTGTCTTTACTTTCCCAGGACAGCCCATCCTGTACCCATTTTAGGCTGGGTCGACCTGCGACTGTGACAGAAGTATAGACCCAAAATAAAAAAAAATAAAAATCATGACAAAAGGGTAAACACATGACAATAAGGATTATGTAGGAACAGAATGTAACAAAATATATTTTATAAAAACCATTTATATTGGATGATTTTATACTGGCCGGAACCCAGTATTTCATTCATAACTTGAACATTAATAAAAATATGGCAGCAAAATTTGGAGTTGACTTACCCCCCCCCCCCTTTCTGCAAAGTCAAATGACATCATAACAAATGCTGAAAATGGTCACCATTGGCGCCCAGGCAGCAAAACATCATGTGACCTCGAGTCGCACTCGTTTACCTGCAGTACTGCGACAGACTTTCCACATTATGGAATGCCAATAGTGGCCATTTTCCGCACCTATTATGATGATGTCACCCAATTTTCCATGCACAGAGGTAAGTCCACTCCAAATTTTGCTGCCATATCTATATCAGTGTCCGGGTTATAAACAAAATACTGGGTTCTGCCCTGAATGAAACAACCCGGTGCGTTCAATCAAATACTATTTAACTGTTCAATCTGCATCAAACTGCAGGGCTTTCATTTGATAAAAAAGATTATGCCAAACAAATGTTTCATGTTGGAATGGCTCTAATGAATATGTTTGAAAATATACAGTCTGAAAATATATGCCATCAACTATTATATCTCAAAGCTATTTATAAATAGACAGGATATTTTTAAAAAAAAAAAACAGCATATTTAAGAAATCAACATGGCTTACGTCAGAAAGAAACAAATGGTGTGCTGAAAATTTAACTTGGAATACTGTAAAACAAGTATACAAATTATTAGTAAACATTCCATCACATCCTGAACAAATATTGGCAACACAGTGGAGAGATAAACAGTGCAAACATTTTATACAGACCAATATTTTACCAAAGATAAATACATCACCATAGTAATATAACAATACACACAGGTTAGCAAGTAATTCATATACTTTGCTAATCTGCATTTGCGATCAAACATCTTCATAATTCCTTGCTATCTTATGGTGTATTTTTTAGCCGACGTGCTAAAATCAATACATTAAACATGTTTAATATTCTAGCAACTGTTTCACATTATGTGTCCACCACAAATTTTAAAAAAAATAAAAATCACCCATCCCAAATATACACGGATGTATAAAGACCCTGTTGAAATTCAACCATTGCATTTTGTAAAGTAAGGAAAGCAGACCATTTTGACACCAGCAGAGTTCTGAGCATGTGATGCTAGACCCATGGCCTCCCATAGCGTCTCAGGGATACAGTCATTACAGTGTTTCATGTCCTTTAAAGGCTACACCATTCAATAACTACTACATTAGGATGTGTATTCAGAACACAGTGCAGTTACATACAAAACTTACACCCCAAAAAATCACATGATTGCAGCAGAAGTCAAAACTTTTAGAAAAGGACCAGGGCCAAGAAAAAATTCGACACAAACGAGAAGTTAAATTAGTCAGCTTCTCAGTACAACACAATCACGAACGAAAAAATGAATGTAACAAACAAAAAAACCTTCATCAGCTTTACAAAATATATGGATAATGATATGACGTACATTACGGCCTTCACATATTAACAGGAACGAGCTGTAGCAACTTGACTACCTGAGCATGCCCGGCTCTCTAGCGAAGTTGGTTAAACCTGACTTTCGCGGCGGCCGGGTGACGAACTCCTTGTGGTCCGGGTTCACTCCCGGGGGTAGGCAGAAAAGCCACATTTCTCCCAGATTAACGGTACCTATAATGGAATCAATGCCGAAGGGTTGCGATATCCATAGTACCGAGCCAAAGGGTTTACAACTCATGGTTTCTGGATACGTTAAAAAAAAAAAAAAAAAAGACTACCTGAGCCTCTGTGAACACGTCAAGCACAAATATTTACAGGCTCAACTGATGAGACTTTTTTTACCAAGTGGCAGACTGGGGATATGATGCCAGACTTGGGTTTTTTAAAAGACTAATCAGAACTGGATGGGTGATGTTGTCAACACCTCACCAGCCACTTCTTTGCTTCCCAGGAAATTACCTGGTACCCATCACAGACTGGGTCAGCCTGACAATCAAGTCAATTTTTAAACAAACCCACCTTTGTGCAGATTTTAACCCTAGATCTTTCCCCCAGCAGGAAAGTGTCTCGCAACTTGGCGCCCACGGCTAGGCCAAATTATAGTTCTATAAGACTTCACCAAAAGAGCTAACAGTCTGCTTTTGTAGAATTTTACTGCTCCTTTCAGTCACTTATTGCCCAGGCTACTGTATGCTTCTGAACCACAGTAACTGAATAAAGAGCAGAAAGAAACTGGAGACCCAGGAGAGGTGTTCTCTTTTAAGAATGCCTTGGAAGACTAAGGAGACCAATGTCTAAATACGCCATGAGACCAACCCACCAAGAATGTGAGTAGCTGTTCCAATATCAGGACTGTCTACTTGAGGATAGGAAAGTCTTGACCTTTTGGTCCAGTTTTTTTAGACCAAGGGGTTTGGAGGATGTGACAGCCAGGTAAATAACAGATCTTAGATGCAGATTTCCCCACGTGGGCTCTAAGACTCCTCCCACCTAACAAGCAACATCGTAAAAGGTTTTGCTACAATTGGAAGTGTTGAGCCAAAACTGATTACATGCACTGCTATTACTTGCATCTGATGATGATAATTTTTTTTACAAAATTGTAATTGTATGTTCCAACATTTAGCAGCGTCCTGTGGCTCAGGCGTTGTGAGTCCAACTCGTAATTCACACATACCGCGATCGAAACCTACTGCTGGCTGCATGGGTTTTTATCATGGTAGGGGGTGTCGCAGGTCGACCCAGCCTAAAATTGGTTCCAGGATGGCTGTCCTGGGGAAGTAAAGACGGCTGGCGTAATACTGACCACATTACCCATCGAGTGTCGATTGGTCTCTAAAAATGTGGGGTGCTCTTCCTATATGCCCAATGCGCCTAAGGCCTAAAAAGGGATCTCTATTTTACTTTATGTTCAAACATTTAAACTATTTACAGAAAACATCTGGCACATGTATTTTACATTCTTCCGACCATTACTTGACTGAAGCTACCCGCAAAGGTTATTTACAGCATACCTAACTATTGTGTTGATGTGGAAGACAAGAGAAAGCTATCATATTTTCCCCCACAAGAACAAGAGTACATTTCAGAAATTGAAAACATTGTTTTCTCTGATACAAACAATCAATGGTAGTCAGGTGAACTTCAGGCGCTGAGATGAACCCTGTATCTAAAGATGACATTGTGATTAGTGTATTTTAGTGGAAAGGATTCAATCTGTATGCTTTTAATATATTGATGTAACTGTAGTAATGCATTTGGTGAGATAGGGCAAAATATTCCACACAATAAACTGTGCAATGTACTGTCTGGCAACTATGAAACTCTTTTTAACTCCAGTGAAAAGACAGAAAATGCAATGATATGGACACATCCTAAGATCAAATGGCCTCTCAAAAAACAATACCACGGAACTAAGTAGAGGGGAAGAGGCAGACCAAAAAAGACCTGGATCCAGAGCTTGACTGACTGGGCAGGCCTGAAGCCCTTTGAATCTGACCATCAAAGCTGGAGTCAGCTAATAAGACTGTCAACAGCAACTGGTGACCCAACAACACACAGCGTTACGGTGATGATGATGATGATGATGATTGTTTGTGCCCGTATTACTTAAAATAAGATTACAGTCCCAAAGCTATATTTTTGCTAGAATTAGTATTAGTAAAATGCAACAGGGAGCAACAATCAAAAACATTTCATGCCAGTCCTTACACAGAAAAGTCTGACATGAAATGACTTATGTCAAAGTAGTTTTGTGGCAAATGTACTAGTATCATGTTTTGTTCCTCTTCTGTGGATGCCAATAAAAGGGTGGTTGGCAGGCTATGTTGTGGTTTTAAGCAAGACTGTGATATCTGCATCTTTTATCCCAACACATCTGAATAAAGCTTTTAACAACATGCTTGCTCAGGAGTATAGGGGCTATTCAAATCCCCCCCCCCACCCCCTCCCGAAAAAGGGCAGTGGAACTGATAGAGATGATTTATAATGATTGTACTGATGTTAAGATTGTATTCTGTGAGTTACTACCAATATTATGACTGTATTTTACATTGAATGTAATGTAATGTAATGACATTATTCACTTTCTGTAGTGGTGTAATGTCATGTTTTTGTGTTGTGCTGACCGGGCCAATGTGACAATTGTTGAGACAACACAGTTTAATGTATTAAGCTCGCTGTGAAGGTACTGCAGTATAAACAACACGAACACAGATTTAATCATATCACAGGATTGCATCTTTTAGAAATCCTCCTCATCTGAAGAGTCATCTTCTGCCAAAGTTTGTGCCTTTTCATCATAAAGGTTCTTTGCATATTTGATTTCTTGTGCTACCTGGTAAAGAGAGATGTCATATTATAAGTAAAAGTCATCTTATGGGAGATTCTTCTGCAAAAGTTTAAAGAAAGTCATCTTATAGGAGATTCTTCTGCAAAAGTTTAAAGAAAGTCATCTTATAGGAGATTCTTCTGCAAAAGTTTAAAGAAAGTCATCTTATAGGAGATTCTTCTGCAAAAGTTTAAAGAAAGTCATCTTATAGGAGATTCTTCTGCAAAAGTTTAAAGAAAAAGGCCTTTACTCTTTAAAAATACATAGATTGGAGAGAATGCTGAGCATACAGAAAAAGATGGTGTCAAAAATATATATGGATAAACAACATTTACTTGGAGGATGGTTGAGCACTATGAGCAACCTCAATGGTGAATTACAGATGGGCAAAGGATCTCAGGGTCAGCCTCTGGTATGATTTAAAGACGCATGCAAGTGGGACATGAATGATATACCTACTGAGACGAATTCATGGAAACAGGATGGCATAGATTACCTTGCATAAAGCAGGGAACATTTAAAGGAAAAAGGGACAAAGGAGAAAAAGAATTACAGACAGGTGGAGACCAGAGCACGGACTCTGAACTAACTCTAAACTGAATTTTGCAGCCAGAGTTGCTTGAGGGGGGGGGGGGGGCGCACGGCAGCCATCCCCCCCCCCAAGACTTTCTTTTAGTAACCTCTTACATGTTTGGTAAGGCACAGTGTTTCTATTCATTTCTTCTGCTTAGGGCCCAAAGAATTCACTGCATCCTACCAGGCATGTTACAGAGAGTGACTAAGGGGAGGGTTGGGCTTGTTTACATTATCCCATAACAAAAAAATTTAAAAAAACTAAACAAAAAAACTATCTGCAAAAGGTAAACAACTATTTGTAAAATATGCCAGGAAATAAATTGTGCAATATATTGTTTGTGTCTTCTTTACTAAACTTTACAATGGGGAAACATTGCTTTTATATTCAGAGTTAGCTGACAGCCCATGCTAAACTGTGGGTTGTAAAAGAAGAAGACGATGACAGTCTAGGAGAGTGCACAACAAGGATCAAGGCTTGAGATCCCCTACTATTGACCTTGATTGTGCATACTGCACTTGATGATGATTAAATTTAAATAGAATATTAGGTATCATAAGTGCCCAACTTCCTGTTTTAATGAAGTTAATGATATTTATATTGTTTATTTTGCTTAATTGTCTAAGCTTATTCATACATCTCTTACGGCTTAAATTTGCTTATCTGGCCGAGCACTTTTATTTCTGCCTTTCTATATATTCTATTATTCTTTGCTTTTGACTAAATTATAGAACACAGCTCAATTACAGCTATTTAATCTTTTCATAATTGTAAACCTATTCCCAGACCACTCATTACTGCAAGGTTACTTCACGACTATGTGACCTGTTTATGACTGTGTGACCCACCCATGACTATATGACTACACGACCTGCTCATGACTGTATGACCCACTTATGACTATATGATCCGCTCATGACTGTATGACCCACCCATGACTATATGACTACACGACCTGTTCATGACTGTATGACCCACTTATGACTATGTGACCTGTTTATGACTGTATGACCCACCCATGACTATATGACTAAACGACCTGTTCATGACTGTATGACCCACTTATGACTATATGATCCGCTCATGACTGTATGACCCACTTATGACTATATGACCTGCTCATGACTGTATGACCCACCCATGACTATATGACCCGCTCATGACTGTATGACCCACTTATGACTATATGACCTGCTCATGACTGTATGACCCACCCATGACTATATGACCCGCTCATGACCCACTTATGACTATTTGACCCATAGCTGTATGACAGGGTTCATAGCCAAATTTACCAATCAATTTCAAGGCTTTTCAAGGTCTTTTTCAAGGTCTCCTTAGTTTTTTTCAAGGTTGTCTCGGTGTAATACTGAAACAAGATTTTTGCCTTGTTCAAGGGTGTACTGAGCACACAAGGTACTTCATTTGTGCCACATGTGTTGGTATACCAGCACAGATATCATCATCATGTAGCATTTCCTTTGTCCTGACAAAAAAACCTCGGTCTCTCACCAGCTCTCCCGCCTCATGTACTTTTTTATACTCAAGGAGTCACTTATATCCTGTGCCCATCTTCGTGCTGGTCGGCCCTGAGCTTGATATAGTGTTTGAAATTTTTTTTTAGGGCTTGGTGGTAGAGGGCAGCAAACTGAAGTCCTGTCTGTTCTGGACCTGGTACCTGAGAGGGTTAGGGGAGAGAGAGAGAGTCATGAAGAGAGAGGAAGACACTTGCTGAGGTAGGCTGGGAGAGACAGTGTAAAGATGGACAGATGAAGGTAGAGAAAAGAAGGAAAAGAAGTCTGGGGAAGGAGGAAAAAATGAGAGGGAGGGATGGAGACATGATGAGGAAAAGTGGGGAAGGAACAGCGAAAGACAGAGAGGGAAAAAAATACAGAAAGAGGGAATGCAGATACAGAGATGGGCAGATGAAAAGAGAAGGAAAAAGGGAACGAAATAGAGATATGGAAGGAGGAAAATATGACAAAGAGTTGAAAGAAGGGAGACAGAGGGAGAGAGAACGGACAGGGTGAGAAGCAGATGCAAGCAGAGAGAGATGTAGACATAAAGGAGAGAGAGAGAGACAAAGGGACAGCACAGAGAGGCAAGCCGACAGAGGGAGAGAACCAAAGAAAGAGAAAAAAGGCAGAGCAGGAGGATGGGAGGGAGGTATACAAAGAGGAAGTGATGAAGGGAGGCAAACAGACATAAAGCAAGAGAGAGAGAGAGGTGGGTAAGGAAGGCGGTGACAAACGCAGATTAAGAGAGAGGGGCAGGAAGGGAGACAAGATACATCAAAGAAAAAAAACAGCCACCTACTCCCCCCCCCCCCCCACACACACACAATTTCAAGTGTAGTGGACACAACCACTAGGAAAAGATAGTTATGGGGCAAAAAAATACGTAGATGAACCAGTAAAAAAAATGATGGGGGGGGGGGGGGAGAGAATGAGAGAGGGGAGCGGGTAAGGAAATCTAGAGAAAATGAAAAGACAGGACGGAGAGGAGACAAAGAAGAGATGGGACAGGAGAAAGGGCAAGGAAAGGAAGAGAGGAAGAATGGAGAGAGAAAGGAGAATAGTAGAAGATCAAAGGAAAGAGAAGGGGGTGAGAGAAGAAAGGTAAGACACGGTTGTGGGGGGGGGGGGGGGGGTGTAAAGAACAATGAGTGCCAAAAATAGAATTAGAAAATCTCTAAGTGAGGCCACTTTTCCGGTTCCTACCCTCTCCCAATGTGAATGTGGCCGTGGTCCAAAAACAACAGTGCTAACCCCTACTGCCCCTTGCTTGTCCTATCTGTGTGTGACAACAATAATTCAATTTCTTACACTTAAGGCTGGTGACCTGAGAGCCAAGGTCATTTTATGAAGAAAATAAAAGTCCAGGGGATCCCAACCCACCACTGGTGGAAAATAGAGAAGTTTACCCACACACATAAATAGGTCAGACACATAAATAGGTCAGGGCAGCAGTGGACTTAGTTTTATTTCTGGTTTTCCAATTACAGAAAGGAGGGGAGAGAGGAGGTGGTGGAAAGTGGTGTAGAAGGCTGAGGTGGTAAGGGTGAGACAGAGGAGGTGAGAGAATAAAGTTTTAGAAAATAAAGTGGGAATGAGACAGGGAGAGAAAGAAGGGAGTAAGAAATAAGATGAGATAAAGAGGGAAGAAGGTAGCAGGAAGGGGTGCACTCCCTCCCCTAGGTGTCATCAATGTGGGAGGAGAGAAAAAAAAAGGGGGGGGGGGGTGACGGCAAATGTTTTTAAAAGTACACATGTATTTAATGTGTGGGAGGGGGAATGGTGGACATGAAATGTTCTGCCCTAGGCAACACATAACCTTCTACACCAACTGAAGGTATGGAGAAAGAGAGAGAGAGAGAGAGAGAGAGAGAGAGAGAGAGAGAGAGAGAGAGAGAGAGAGAGAGAGAGAGAGAGTGGCAAATACAAAGAGAAAGAAGAAAGCAGTGACACAGACAGGCAGTGAGTGAGGAACAGGTAGGACAAAATGTGAGGGGGCGGGAAGGGAGATGGACAGAGATTAAGGCCGCTAGGAAAACAAACACATCAAAAGAAAATATCCACCATGTTCACACAGAATGCCCCCCCCCCAATACAACTTCCTGTGTACTTGAGTTGCTAGGAAGAGTTATGGAGCCGCACATTTACTAAACATTTAAACAAGAAATAAAATAGGAAAAAGGGGGAGGGGGGGGGGGGACAGAAAATGAGAGAGTAAAAGGAAAGATAGAGAGAAAGAGAAGAAGATGAAGATCAGAAGGGAGGGTTAGAGACAATGCAGGAGACGGGAAGGAAGGAGCAATAGGTAGAAGAGTGAAAGAGGGAGGGAAGAGAGAGAGAGGGGTGAGACAACAGAAGAGGGAATCTCGGGGAATTACAATACTGATCGCCAAACACACTGTAAAGATAAATCCAGGCCAAAAATAGGACTGGGAAATCCAGCTGCAGTCACTTTTCTTAGCCCCAATGCCATCTCTAATTAATAGAGAAGGCAGTGCTTAGCCCCACCACGGCGACTCTATTTATAAATACAACTGAACCGAGCCCCACCATCTCCCAATGTAATCCTTTCTAGAAACCACGGCCATAAACGATTTAAACTGTTCATTCTGCCCGACTTGCTAGAAACAAAGGCACACACACACGCGCGCGAGACGGAAGCTGCTCCTTCCCGCCCCATGCCACACAGCTGCTGTCTGCATGTATTCATGATCTGTAACAAAGCCCGCCCTCCCCTGGCCTTTAACAAGCCATTTCGGCTGAAAATAGCCAATAATCAGCTGCCCTCACACCTGAAACGACCATACAACGAAAGTAGCCAAAAACTAGCCAAATGGCCAAAAAAGCCAAATGGCTCCCCCAAAATTGCCTGTGCTTGAAAAACACAGGATTTCTGACGATTTCATTGCCGCGGTCAAAATTCACGGCTTTTCAAGGTGGGAATGTCTTTTATAAGCTAAAAATCCCGGTTTAAGGTCAACGAAAAAAATCCCGGTAATTTCCCGATTTCCCGGTCCACTACGAACCCTGGTATGAGATTTATCAAGGACAACATCAATCTGTAAGAGAATACATGACCCACCTTCTTGGCTATGTTCTGTTTATCACAGCGGACTCGGGGTTTGTTGAGGATGGTGCTAGCAACGTCTGAGTTGATCTTGCGGGTCAGCTCTACATAGTACCTTCCATCTGATGATAGCAAAAGTAAATTTGCTAATATAAAATTCTAAAGGTACAAAACACAAAATAAATCAAAAAGAGAAAATTTTCGTTTAAAAAAAAAACAGAAACAAAAAAACAGACAGACACAAAGTAGCAGTTTCATAAAAGAATAAAGTATCCAAAATTATCAACAATCAATTTGATTTTTTTTTTGTTAAATGAAGAAGAAAACCATTAGGAAGGAAAAACAACAACATCTGTTATGGGAAGTGCACCAGATCCTATATATACATCAGAGGGAGAACACAACATCCTAATTTATATAAACAAAGGGGACAGCATTCTTTTCTAGTTATGTATCCAGGGGAGTTAATCACATTCTAGTTATGTATCCAGGGGAGAGGGTAATGTTATAGTTATGTAGCCAGGAAAGCTGATCATGTCATAGTTATGTTACCAGGGGAGTTAATTATATCCAAGGTATGAATCAAGAACACATTCTAGTTATGTATCAAGGGGAGAGCATCACATTCTAGTTATGCATCAAGGGGAGTCAGTCTATCACAGCCGAGTTAATATACTAGTCAACCCCCCTGTGAGATGCAATTTTTTGTTATTTTGAAGCCCCACCCTGGCTCTTGCCAAGGGCTGCAATATAGCCCGGCCATAAATATGGCCTAATGGCTGAACGTGGTTTCCAGGACCTATCTACAGGTGATCTTCATCCGCATGGTGGCTGTGTCATCAGATGTTTATCGCTTGTGTGGGGTAAAAGTACTACAACTACTACAGCTAAGTTACGCCTCTCTTTTAAATTCAGAGGTCACTATATCCAGTGTGGATATGCACCTTAATAAGTTTTACTTCTTCTAGATGGATACAACTGCTGGTTAAGGGTGTTATCTGCCCACAAGCGGGTTTCACCACCCATATCATAAAAAGGACTGAACCCAGAAACACCAGACAGTTAACCAGGAAGCAACAACAGCAAATTTAAAAAAAAAACTACCTTAAAAGTAGTAACGTCCATGGGTAAAAGAGGAGTAATAAATTTAAAGAAAAACAAAAACACTATATAAAGAAACTATGCATCCACAAAAAGCCAGCTGGTTACTCTTTCTCAAATTTGCTGTTGTAATTATAACTGCTTCACAGAGTATGCTTTTGAAAAAAGAAACTGGTGTTTTGAACTCAGTTGCTTGCTTGATAAGGTTCAAGATGAAAAGCATGCTGTGAATTTTTTTGCCCAGGGCATTCGTGTATGCATGGTAATTAGCAGGCTGATAGAGTAGTTGCCCCTGCCCCTCGGACAGTGAGCTACTTTACGATAAAATGGACATGATAAAGGCTCTTCCATATCAAGTTAACAGTGCAACAGAATGAACAGGTCATCCACATCTGGACAGAATGATTCATCCAGGAGTGACCAGAGGGTGTGAACAATATTCTACCTGCAGGGGAGGGGGGGGGGGGGGGGGACTTTTAATCAGAATGCAACTAGCACTATCTGTATAGAGATATTACAGAATTACTTTTCGCCGACGACTAGGTACTCATAGCAGAAAATACGGAATGCCTACAGAACCATCTAAATCAAATTAGTAACAAAGGGGAGGAATATAATAAGAAAATAAACACTACGAAGACAGAGACAATGATGATAGGAATACATAAAGACAATTTAGAAATTAAATTAAAAAACAACACCTTAAGACAAACAGAGGAATTTAAGTATTTGGGAGCAATTTTTACATCAGACGGAAAAGTGGACAGAGAAATTAGCTCCAGATGTGCCAAAGCTAATCAAGTAATGGGGCAACTATCTCCCCTGTTGACACACAAGCAGATACCTCGGAGTACTAAAGTGAATCTTATCAGAACTATTTTTTGGCCAACACTATGCTACCAATGCCAAACGTGGACACTTACATCCCCCAGTGAACGTAAAATTGTGACAACAGAGATGAAATGCCTTAGAAGAGTTGCAGGAGTTTCAAGGAAAGACAGAATACGAAATCATGAAATCAGACGAATGCTAGGAATAAAGCCAGTCTTACAGGTCATGAAAGAACAATAAATGAAGTGGTCTGGACACCTAACAAGAATGCCCTGGTACTATCCGCCACAGCGAGCCACACTAAAACGTTACAATGGGTATAGAGTGAGTGGAAGACCTTGGAAAATATGGAGTGACGGCATTAAGAACAGCCTTACAGAAATGAACATCAGTCTTAATAGTGCTCTTGACAGAGCTCATCAACGAACATTACATCTCCCCCCGACACTACGATGAGGTACAAGGTGGAAGAGAAGAAGAAGAAGAACTATCTGTATAGAAACTCTTGGCTGGCTACCAACGAAGAGGGCAGAGCACATGTGAGAATGTCCCAATGTTAGTTCTTGATTCATTCATTCAATTAAAAATCTACCAATTAAACAATCCTAAGTCTGTGAGAGACTCACCAGCTGTAATGTTCTTGCAGTCAATAATTTCTGCATGGCTGATGCTCAAGACCACGTTGTCTGCCTTAGCTCTCTTCTGATTGAGAAACAGAACCTGTCTATTGGAGATCAGCACATGCATGTTGCCTTCTCCGCTGGGGTCAGAGATCAGCTGCTCCATGGCAATCAGGCTGGAGAAACAGTAGAACAGGGGGTTACACATTGATTCCTGATCATGCCGGAGTTAATGGCAATCAGGCTGGACAAACAGCAGAACAGGGGATTACACATTTATTCCTGATCATTCAAGAGTTAATGGCAATCAGGCTGAACAAACAGCAGAACAGGGGATTACACATTGATTCCTGATCATGCCAGAGTTAATGGCAATCAGGCTGGACAAACAGCAGAACAGGGGATTACACATTTATTCCTGATCATGCCAGAGTTAATGGCTATCAGGCTGAACAAACAGCAGAACAGGGGATTACACATTGATTCCTGATCATGCCAGAGTTAATGGCAATCAGGCTGGACAAACAGCAGAACAGGGGATTACACATTTATTCCTGATCATGCCAGAGTTAATGGCAATCAGGTTGGACAAACAGCAGAACAGGGGATTACACATTTATTCCTGATCATGCCAGAGTTAATGGCAATCAGGCTGGACAAACAGTAGAACAGGAGATTACACATTGATTCCAGATCATACAAGAGTTAATGGCAATCAGAGTATATGAACTGACACTGAATGTTGTTCTCCATATTTGTAATACAGCAGTAAATAACTGACATAAGAATTAAATATTCTGTTTAGTAACATATTTTTTCCCTGTACTTCCACTAACTTTCTAGTGCTCTGAAAAATAATCCTGATTTTTTAATCTTTATTTTTCCAGCGATTAACTGTACTAATTTACTTTGATGCCTCTAAGATCCTTGTGTAACCATGTTACGACCAAAAAACTAAGGGACAACTGACAAAATTATGAGAAAAGAGCAAATGGTAGACAAAGAGATACTTATTTAGATGGGTGGGCAAATGGCATAATTGAAACAAATAACAAAAATCTAATAAACTAATAGTGATGTTTTTTTTTAAGACGGTGAGCCCATGATTACAATACAAGATATGTCTATTCATCATGGCACATGATGATGATAGTTTCTAGGTGAAATAAGAAAACTGAACACTTTGATGAAAATAAATGTAAAATATAAGTGAACTCACAATTCTGTATAATCATGGTCGTTGAGTTCATACAACATGATCTGTGCTTCGGCCTGAGATTTCATATACAGAGGGAGCAGCCCGCCTGGTCCCTGTGTACAACGAGGGCTCCGTACACGATTGGGGCCTCTGTGTGACGTCCGTGTGCTGCTGTCTCGCAAGGCATTGGCCAGACCTGAGGTAAGGTCAAGGACACCAGAAACTGGTTTGGTGACAGTGCCAATCATGCCTTTCCCCATGCCTTTGATCAGACCCTGGATTGCAGAAAAAATGAAGGCAAAAACAGTAAACTTTTATCATTATTACCATCAGAATGCACGTTTGTTGTTCGTCCATTACAAATGACGAAGACCACTTTGCATCTCAACTTAATAATGATAAATGAATGTGAATATGAAGATGACTAATGAATCTTATTTGAGCGCTGAAAGTTCTTGCACAGTGTGGACAACAGACAGAAGCCACAACTGAGGTGGGATTTGCACCAAGGTTCTTTCCGCTCTGCCTCCGTCTCTCTTTCAGTGCAACCTAAGCTGAATAGTAGGCTGATGCCCCATGTTTGAGGACTATACGCTGTCCAGATCGGTATGATAATGATAAGCGGATGAAAGTGACTTGCATAGTGACTTAGTTTTAGGTGATGACAAGTTTGCAATGCATCAACTCACTCTCTCACCTGTGTCCATCTTGATCCAATGGCAGGATAGTGTACAGGCAGGAAGCACAATGCAGTGACAATCAATCACATTTCTACTGTTTATAAATGCTGCTTTTTGGAACATGTTCTTATTAACAGTGTTTGTGCTATACCTGACTGATGTCAAGTGAGAAGTTGGAATGTGTTCTTTGGCCTATATATATGCTGTTTGTGGTTTTACTAGGCAATTTAATGTTTGGTAGTTTGCCATTTCTTTCTCAATGGTCAGCAGTTCCATATCACTGTCAAAATCGACAATAAGAAGGCTGCTACCATATTGTCTACAGTTCAATCGAATTGGTGGTGGTGGTGGTGGGGTGTGTGTGTGTGCGTGTGTGTGCATGTGTGTGTGTCTCTCTCTCTATTTCTAAGACATATGGTGCAGTCATGTGTATGTGTGTGTGTGTGTGTGTGGGGGGGGGGGGGACATGCAGCCATGCCACTGTGAAATAACTAAGATATGATACTGGGCTGTTTCCTGACCAAACTTACTAAATGGCTGATGTGGTTGGCATCATTCTGGCAGACCTGCCTTCTACTTCAGTAGACATATGGCCTAGACATATGGCCATTAATAAATCACATAACAATGGGAATTTAACTCAGAATAATAGAGCCGGAAAGTGAATTCACTAGTTACTGTAGATACCTGTATGTGTATTTATATAATGTCATTTAACAACATCACCATGTAGAAGGTCCTTTACCCTCACTGGTTTCCTCACAGATCCTTCTTTGCTTCCATTTTTAGAAAACAGATCATTGCTAAAAGTAAATGACTGTTTGCTTATTGTCCACATTTCACATGCAGAATACAAAACAGGTAGTCAAACACTTACCCCAAATCCCTCACTCTGAGCTCCTGAGATGCTCTGACTAACCAGGCTGGTGACACCCCCAATAATGCCATGACCTAGCCCCTTGAAGCCGGCCATCAAGTGGTCACTGCTGCTTCCCGAGGTGACATTACGTAAAGCCTCTCGCCGCTGGTTGTGTTCCTCGTCCAATCCCACAGTGCTAATCCCATCTGACAAGGAACTCACCACCTAGAGAAAGTACAGTTCCACTGATTTAGCTCTGGTCTGGTTTTTATTTGTTCTTGCTGCAGTGTAGTGCAGAATTATAGGCAATGAACAAGAAATGAGAGAACATCAATTTTAGGCTCAAGAATTGGTGCAAAAAAAAAGGTCTCAGTTCACAAAAAGCCTGTGTGGGATCTGGGGCCATATTGTCAGGGAAATGTCATTAACTGCCCTTGTAAAAAGCATGTTGTAAGCATAAATTAATGAGTGCATCTGTCTGACAGGCGAGAAACCAACAGTCTGCATACAAATAAGCCAGATCTATAAAACGGATGTGCATGCATAACTCAAATTCTGAAACAGGATTAAAGTCCAGAATTGGATAAACAACCATAAACTTTCTTTAGGAGTTTACAGCCTATGAAAGCATAGAAGAACAAAACTTATTATTTATCAGTGGATGTCAGATTTGTCTGGTGCTGAATTGGTTCAATATGCAATCAGGATAAAATATTAACTAATTAACAAACACTATTTATATAAACTATAAGCCTGATTGACTGACTAACTCATTTATCTAAAGAAAAAATGATTTAAGTGCAACTAACCTTGGCAGTCGAGTTGGACACACCATGAGTCACATTCTTCAGCAGCCCACCCACATTGCCATCCTTCACAAAGCCTGCAATTCCTTCTGTGATGTCATGGACGAGTCCCAGGGGATTTCCCAGAAAGTCCACCGAACCCAGAATTTTGGCTGCTTGGCCAATCAGCTCCTACAAAAATAATAAACTGCTTTAAGAAAATCAGAACATAGAGCAGGAATGTGAAACCTCTCACCTTGTAAACCTCTAGGAGAAAACCTGAAAACCTGGTATCCTCCCCCCCTCCCCAACCAAAAAAAAACTTTACTTACAAAAGAGGCCACTAATAAATTAAAATAAACATATATTTATGTAAAAAAAAAAAAAATGTGGTGAGGGGGAAGAGGGGGGGGGGGGGGGGGTGAAAATTTTAAATTGGTTTTAATGACAGAAGGTAATAAAAAAAAATGAATGAGATGGAGCATTGAACTGCTACAGTCCCTTAGGTCTAAAAAAATTGCATTCAGTGAGTGACTCACACCGTGATCTTTCACTCTAAAAAGGAATTGTGATGTCACAATGCTTAAAACCTTAAAAAAGCCATCGCCTGCACAAGAATCCCCTCCAATGCTATTAAATATAATCATATACAGGGCTCTGTAAGGTAAGGAAAGAATAGCAATTCTAATCTACCAGAGACCTGTTGTATGAGGTGAAATCTACCAAATATGTTGTATGAGGTGATTAAGGAGGGTTCATGACAGGCTTGCTACCTCATTTCAAAAAGACCTCTCTGCAACATCAAACCCGGTTTCTTGGAATAATTGCATTCATTACCCATAAGCTACCGGGCTATTTCCTTCTAAATAAGAGTGCATCTGCCTAAGAGACGAGCAACCAGCCGTCTGCATAAAATAAGCCACATCTCATGAGGAAATTTGAATCCAGAAACACCAGACTAGGATGTAAGTGTACTAGCCACCACATCAAAAAGCTACTAAAGCAAATGAATTCACTAATCTGAAAAAAAACAAAAAAAACAGAAACAAATTTACTTTTAACTTACCTCCCTGTAATGGTTCATGATTTTGTTGATCAGAAATGGCCCAGTCTCAAACATATGGTACTGCTCAAATGAACCTGTGGTTGAGAAAGTCAGTTCATTATTTGCTGGTGATTATTTTGAAATGTTATTGGTAAGGCATCAGCAGGTTCTAAAAATCTGAACAAACTGTTGAACTCTAAACTGTATAGTTGTAAAATGTATATTCATTTATAATGTTATTTCAGTTTTAACATATATTAGTGAGAGTTAGAGTACCAAAGACATGGAATGACAGTGAAATGCATTCAAAGACAAATACCTGAGGAAAACAATGAACATAAAATGGGATGAATTCAAGAAAGAGGAAGAAATAAGAGAAATGTCTGAGTAACCACAAATATCAACAGTTACAGGATAAAGAATATGCCACTATACTGGACACAGCCTTAGAATAAACAAGCAGAGAATCACAAAACAGGCACTGAAATGAGAAATTAAGGGATTCAGGAAGCTAGGACACACAAGAGAAACCCTAAAATGAGTTGAGTTGAGTCAAGAATTGACATCACAGCACTCAGGGCATTCCCAAGCATGCTTCATCCTCATCTTCAGCAGCCAGCACAGAGTTCCAATACTGATGGTACCTGTCACAATCTGGTTATATTTCCGTCTTGCCTTTCCTCTGAGTGTAGTGAGCCGGCCAGATCTTCTGGTTACACCTAGATGCCTCATTCTCTCCAGGGTGAAATAACCTTCTATCTCTACTGATTCTGTTGCTTGTTCCCAAAGGACCTTAACCACATCTGCCTTGTCATGTATCAATTCACCACCCAGTTGTGCAGATCCAGCCAATCTTTCTGCCTGTTCCCTAAAATGAATGTTCAGGAAAGAAGCAAAAGTTGCTGCACCCTTCCATCCCTGATATCAAAGTGATTGCACACGAAATAATGGAATAGAGAAACAGACCGTGAGTCAGTCCCTATGTGGCATAAAATTGCCAGGACAATTATGATGATTTTGAAATTTCACTCTTTCAATTTGTATGCCTCACAGGGACAATTTAAACAAATGGAACATTAAATTAAAGTATTACTTGCAAAGTTGCAACAAACATAGTTTTATGTGTTAAATATCTAGCCAGATTTCATTAGTATACTCAGATGAAATGTAAAATATATAATTAAAAGGTTAAAGGTTAAAGAAAATAGGATTGACTTCATTGCACTGGGTTTTATGCCAACATTTGCTCAGTCTCTTTCCACAGAATGGCTAGCTGCCTGCCGAGAGCATCGCATAAAGCACCAATTCTGTAGCTCCAGCGACGATCCCCAGGGATCTCCATAAAATTTGCACTCCTGGACTGAAGGGCGCAGCCATGAAACGAATCCACAACCTTCAGAGAGCGACGCAAACGGCTTGACCACTTCACCACGGATATAATGAACACAGTGTACATGTATATAAGTAAGAATGTAAATGTTCCGTTGTTTGTTACAGTTAGTCTCCAAAAGTTCTTCACCGATTGCTGTCAAATTCTGACACAACGTTGTATTCAAATACGTGCATGTTTTTATATAAGAGTGGGGAAAAGAGAGTATCTGGCAACTCTCCCGGGGACACAAATTTATACATCCCCGCAGAGTCAAAAATTTTGTTCATGTTAACTAAGTGTTTGTTTTAGGAGAGTTCATGTTAGCAAGGTCTTACTGTATTTAATAGCACTAATATAGGTAAAAAACAAACAAACTGACAAACTACTTACGCATGTCAATGTTTGCCTGTTCAAACGCTATCAACCTCATCGCAAAAGCATTTTTGATGGCCTTGAGGTCAGGGGGCAATTTGCTGGCAGTAACCATGCTCAAGGTCACTCGATTAACACTCAACTTGACAGCGCCAAAATAGTAACGAGTTGATTGGATTGAGGTCACAGCTGACAAAGCTCTGGTAAAAGACAACACAAGTAAGCATCTTTTGACAATATCTGGCTGAAAATCTTTTAATACAGTATGCAAATGCGATATCTATAGTACCAAGCCAAAGGGTTTCAACTCATGGTTTCTAGATATAAAAAAAAAAAAGACAGTGACTAAAAATGGCAGACAACATCACAGTTCATTTTTGATAGAATTGATTACTTCCTGGCAGTTATTTTCTTCTTCTTGGTCTTCTTCTTCAACATTGTGAGCCCTTGAGGTTCACTGCCGAGGATATCTGCTTTCTGCTATCTCTGTGTTTTGCTGTCTCTCTCAGTTGCATTTGTAGGTCTGTCTAGATGTCGTCTCCCCCACAGGAATGGGCAGGCATGAGAATGCCCAATGTGCAGTGAAATCAACTGTGATGGTATACAATTATATCTCCACCATCTTCTTGGTATTTTAGCAATACTAGTTGACTCTTTCAGTACCAAATTATAAATCCATGCATGGTGCATTCCTTAGTATCTAAAGCCTTAACTCTTTGAGTCCCAGCGGGTTTAGCATTACAGGCCCAGGGGGATAGTAAAGAAAGTAATAAATCAGCGCATTATGCGTTCATTGGGCTTCTAGCTAGGAACCTATGAACGTATGATGCGTTTCTTGGGACTCAAAGAGTTAATTAATCTATATTATTATATTAGAATATTAATATACACAGAGAATTAATATATTACTATTATAATTTATTTTTATATCTATTCCCTAATTAGGATAATGAAAAATTTTTCAATTACCTACCTGTGTGTATCAAATATTTCATCCAGGCGGTTTAGGGTGTGGTCATCTTTACCCACCCCTGCTAGCTGCATCAGCTTCCACAGAAGATGTTCCTCGATGTGGAGCGTCATCCTCTTGGTGGACACATACAGGTGCTGCAACAAACGCATGTTTTTATTACAGTTCATAATTAGGATATATTGAAAGGGGGGGGGGGGGGGGGGGGGGGGAGATGTAGGATAATCACTTTTATTCACACAGACATTGCTTTTATTTTTTAGATCTGAATTTCAATGATGAAAGGTGAGGTAAACCTATTTTCTACAATGTCTCCATGTGTCATCTAATTCTTACTACTTGTTTGCATGTAACAAATATTTTTGAATATCATGTTGATTGTTTCGCGTTAATGCCCAGGAGCTCAGGTATAGGGGACAGTTAGGTTCAGGGCCTCAGGTCTGGTAGCGTTAACACATGCCCTGCATTGTCTGCACAAGAAATGACAAATATTACTGATTTCACAATTGACATTGCAGCACACCAGACATGCCCACAGATGCTCCCATCTCCAGAAAGCAAAATATATGTAACTAATCCTTTGTCCCTTGTGGGATGCATTTTTTCGTTATTTTGAAGCCCCTAACCGTTGAATGGGGTTTCCGGGACCTCTCCACAAGTGATCCTCATCCACAGGGTGGCACTTTGTGTCATCAGGCGTTTATTGCTCTGTGTGATTGGCGGGGGCTAGGAAGACATTTACTTACTTACATGCAGCAAAAGTCACGAGGTGTAGATGCTAACTCTTCCCAAAGTCCACATATTACATATTCAATGTTCTCTTCCTCTCATGTGTCCCTTCTTGTCAGATCCAGTCCTAATACCTCGTTCACACATTTTTACACAGGTTATTTCACCTAAATGTGTGTCTTCTATCAGCTTTCGTTCACAAATGGTGCTCAGAATGTCTTCTTTGACCAGTACAAGTGTCCTTAGTAGCCAAAGTATCTGCTTTTTCATTCCCTGACACTCCTGTGTGTCCTGGAGAATATTCACATGTCCTGATGTTTGGTATCCACTCATGCCAAATTTGTCCATTTTGAACCTTTAGCAGTACCGAATAAGAATCAGACACTATAATTCCTTTAGTAACTTTATTTTCTGTTATTGACTTCTGGGCCGAAATAACAAACAATACAAATAACTATGGTTATAGGCAATACTATAATCACCTTCTTCTTCGCATTCTTCTTCTTCTTTTGTCAAAATCTGCTTGTGCCGCTAGGCGTCGCAGTCTATCAGATGATCGGCAACCGAGCCAGGGCGCGCTCAGTCGCTTCATATGCCGTGATGTTATGAAGTCTCAAGTTGTCCGTGACTCCTTCAATCCATCTTCTTCTTGGTCTTCCCCTGCCTCTTGTTGTTTCGATTTTCATGTTTTCTTCGCATTCACCGGCTGTAAATTCTAGCGGAAAGCTCTGGTTGTTTATCCCCGTCTAGATTTTGGCCTTTTTCCAGAACCTGAGTTCTGTGTGCACATCCATTTACAGATCTGGTTTATCTGTATGCAAACTGTTGGTTCCTTGCCTCTCAGGCTGATGCACTCTGACTTCAAAGGAAGTCCCCAATTAGTTGACTACTATGACATACGAGTTAGGGAGACAGTGGGTCTATTGTTGTTTTCCACATGGGGAACTTATTTGAATGATAACTACATTTAAAGACACACAAATTACTTTATTGATAACTATATTTGAAGACACATACATTACTTTATTGATAACTACATTTGAAGACACACAAATTACTTTATTGATAACTACATTTGAAGACACACAAATTACTTTAATGATAACTATATTTGAAGACACATAAATTACTTTATTGATAACTACATTTAAAGACAGACAAACTACTTTATTGATAACTACATTTGAAGACACACAAATTACTTTAATGATAACTATATCTGAAGAAACACAAATTACTTTAATGATAACTACATTTGAAGACACACAAATTACTTTAATGATAACTATATTTGAAGACATACAAATTACTTTAAGGATAACTACATTTAAAGACGCACAAATTACTTTACTGATCACTATATTTGAAGACACACAACTTTCTTGAATGATCACTATATTTAAAGACACACAACTTACTTGAATGATCACTATATTTGAAGACACACAACTTACTTGAATGATCACTATATTTGAAGACACACAACTTTCTTGAATGATCACTATATTTGAAGACACACAACTTACTTGAATGATCACTATATTTGAAGACACACAACTTACTTGAATGATCACTATATTTGAAGACACACAACTTTCTTGAATGATCACTATATTTGAAGACACACAACTTACTTGAATGATCACTATATTTAAAGACACACAACTTTCTTGAATGATCACTATATTTGAAGACACACAACTTACTTGAATGATCACTATATTTGAAGACACACAACTTACTTTACTGATCACTATATTTGAAGACACACAACTTTCTTGAATGATCACTATATTTAAAGACACACAACTTACTTGAATGATCACTATATTTGAAGACACACAACTTACTTGAATGATCACTATATTTGAAGACACACAACTTACTTGAATGATCACTATATTTGAAGACACACAACTTTCTTGAATGATCACTATATTTGAAGACACACAACTTACTTTAAAAATCTCAGCTTTCCACTTGGCACTGGGGACCTTGTGAGCAGAGAAATGCAGCGCTGGTGTATTGTCCATGACATCCTGTCGCGACATTGGCGTGACAAACAGTACAACTGGTCGCTGAGCGCCCCACATCTGGTTATCAGCCTAATGGGGCGAGGAAATGTAAATGAAAATGAATGAGGCGAGAAAGGAGATAAGAAGGAGACAATTCATGCAAGTCAGTAGTGTCAACTTTGTTGGTCATATTATGAGAAGAAGAAAACTGGAATATGTTGTGACCACTGGAAAGATCAGTGGGAAAAGAGACAGAGGAAGGCAATGCAAGATAATTCCTGACAACTTTTTGTCATGGCGAGGAAGGGTGTCAACAAGAACTGATACATGCCGCTAATTATTACAGATTGTGGAAAGGCATGATCACCCACGCCAGTCAGAAAAGCTGCAACATATATAATATATTCTTCCTCTCCTATGTTTGCTACTTAAAAGAACAACTGGCCTGTTATATTGTGGTATACAGCTAGGCTGTGATATCTGCACCTTTCAGTCCAACACATCCAATTTCAGCAAATCCTTAAGTAGTCACCTTCGATGACATGCTTGTTACGCAGCAATGGTTTTTTCTTTCTTTAACCCTCACAATGGGGCCAAGGAACTTACTTCATCTTCAGTGTCCACCGGCTGTAATCTTTAGTAGAAAGTTCTGGTGTTCATCCAATTCTGGACTAATGTCTTGTTTCAGAACTTGAGTTTTGTGTGCACATCCATTTCACAGATCCAGCTTATTTGTATGCAGACTGCTGGTTTCTCACCTCTCAGGAAGACCCCCTCTGACTAATTAGTCGCCTTTTACAATATGCATGTTAGGAAGGCAGTGGGTCTGTTCCTTATATCCCCCAAAATGGGGCCCAGAAACCCACACTGGGATTAAAGTATGTGTGTCTGGGTAAAGCATCATGTATACAACACAGAGTACAGGCAGCTACAAGTTAGATCTATCAAATATGTGAACAAACATTACATAATTAGTCAGTGCATATAGCTCATGAGGCTAAAAAAAAAAACAACAAGGGACAGAATAGCTTTCTGATATGTTGTTACGAGAGCTATTTTTTGCAAAAGACCTAGTAGATGATGATGAGGTAGGCATCTCTTAAAATAAACAACAGCTTACGTCACATCTAAAATTCCTATGAAAATCAGTGATTCTTCAAGTCTCAAGCAGTAGGTAACTGGCTCTTTCCCTTGAACCCTTATAGACCTCCACAAAACAGGGGAATATAAATGTACGAGTAAGAATACAAAAGGCAGGAGGAGCTTTCATTAAATTATGGAGAGTTTGTAAAAGTAAACTAAAGTTAAGCCTATTAGCAAACTTACAGTTTACAGTAAACTTCAAACATTCACTGCCTGATGTTGCATCCTATGACATGCTTGTTGGGGAAAAAGGAGGAGGTGGGTGGGGGAGCGGGTAAATTTTGTGTTCTCCCAAACGGAGCCCTGGAATCCACACAGAGAGAACATGGTTCAAGTGGGAAGACTTGCTTTGACAAAGAACACACCAGACTGGAAAGACTGATCTAGCATAAGATAGGCAGGCTCATATAGCTGAATTATAATTATAGACCAACCCAAGCTCTAGCAGAACACTGTATAAGGTCATATATAAGTCCCGGTACACGTAACATTATTTATTTAACATTATTTTTTGCAAAAGACCTAGTAGATGATGATGAGGTAGGCATCTCTTAAAATAAACAACAGCTTACGTCACATCTAAAATTCCTATGATAATCAGTGATTCTTCAAGTCTCAAGCAGTAGGTAACTGGCTCTTTCCCTTGAACCCAGCAATCAATCAATTTGTTCAGCATACTAGTTAGTTCTCTAGCTTTGGAAGAGAACTAAACACATTCTGGTGAAACAAGAGGTCAGCAAAATACTCGTGTGAAGGATAGGACACACATTATGATAATATAACTAGAATGTCTTTCAATGAAACCTCAGGCTCAAAGGAATAAAGACAGACCAAAAACAAAAAGTATTAAAAAAATGAGGTGAAAAGCTGTAGAGCACATGCAGTTAGCTGTGTACGACAGCAAAGGATAGGATGGTGGTAGGTGCTGTTGACAGCCTATGCTCCATTAGGGCAGAAGAGAAGCATACTAAAAAAGAACTACAGGGTCCCCCAGTTAACATATGGAGCCCCCGTATTCAACCTCTTTGAAACCTTCAAGATTCTTCTAGCCACAACAGATAAAACAACCTCCAGTGACTGCACCAAATATATCTGCAACTATTTTCTGTACCTGGATGTGAGTCACGCTGGCATCAAACGTGATGGATGACAACTTGGACACCACCTCAACAGAGATGTTTTTCAGTGTCACATACAGGAGCTCCTCCGACAGACTGTTTACTAATGACACTCCTATTCCATCTTTCAACGTAATTGACAACTGAGGAGCAAAACATACAGAAATAAAATTCAAATTACATTTTTCGATGGCATACCCCAATTCTTCTTCTTCTTCGCTGGCCGTAAACTCTGGCAGATAGTTCTGGTTGTTTGCCCACTTCTTGACTGTAGTCTTGCTCCAGAAAGTGAGTTTTGTGTACACATCCATTTTACATACCTGGCTTATATGTATGCAGACTACTGGTTCCTTGCCTCTCAGGCAGATGCACTCATACTTTGAAGGAAACCCCTAATTAGTCGACTCTTATGACATGCTTGTTAGAGAGGCAGTAGGTCTACTCGTGTCCCAAAATGAGACCCCAGAACCCATTAGAAGACATACCACAATTAAAAATGAAGAAACTGAAATTTAAAAAAATTTTAAAAATGAAAAAAAAAAAATGAAAAAAATAACTGAAGATCTTTGTTCAGTAGATGACAATACTGGAGATTCTTCATCTTCTTCAGCGTTCCCAGTCACTGGGGTTGACTGCTGCAGATATCATTCACTTCCACTCAACTCTTCTCTGTGGTTGGCTTTATGTTTTCCGCTGGTGACTCTGATTGTTGGTAGGTGTGCCTGTAAATTATTTCTCCAGTCTTCTTGGTTTGCCTTGTGATCTACTCTGATTCAGCTCTTTGGCATATGCAGTTTTTGTCTCTCTATTATCCGCCATTCTCTCCATGTGCCCAACCACTGCAATCTATTAGCCTATTGTGATCAATCCTTAATAAAGAGCAGATATGGTCAAGGCCCTGTGGGAACAAGCAATGGAATCAGTGGAGAAACAAGATTATTATGGCCTGGAGAGAATGAGGCACCTGGGTGTAACCAGAGGGTCTGGCCGGCTCACTACACTCAGAGGTAAGGCAAGTCAGACATATAACCAGATTGTGACCCGTACTATCAGTGCTGGAACTCTGCGCTGGCTGCTGAAGATGAGGATGGAGCACACATGGGAATGCCCCGAGTGCTGTGATGTCAATTCTTTACTCAACTCAACTCCTGAATAAAGAGCTGTATTGTTAAAAGTCTTTAGTTAAGCACCAGCAAGGAGATAAAAATTAGAATTTTGATAGCATGCATCGTCCCTGTGGCTACATACGGATGTGAGTTGTATAATTTGTTCCAATCCGTCTTGGCGCTTGATATGACCAAAATATTTCAGCTTTCAAGAAAGGATGCTGTTTATTAGCCAATCTTTCTTGATTTTCAGATCTTTTAAGATGTCAATATTTCTCATCTTCTTTGTCCAAGATATTCTGAGAATCTTTCTATAACATTTCAGCTCAAAAGCCCCTATTCTCTTTCTCAAGGACTGAGAGATATCTCAGTCCTTGAGAAAGAGAATAGGGGCTTTTGAGCTGAAATGTTATAGAAAGATTCTCAGAATATCTTGGACAAAGAAGATGAGAAATATTGACATCTTAAAAGATCTGAAAATCAAGAAAGATTGGCTAATAAACAGCATCCTTTCTTGAAAGCTGAAATATTTTGGTCATATCAAGCGCCAAGACGGATTGGAACAAATTATACAGAAGGAGGGTTACCAGGAAGGAGGGGCAGGGGCACAGGATATTAGTGACTGCTTGAAGGTGAAAGTGCATGAGGTGGGAGAACTGGCGAGAGACCGAGTTTCTTTCAGGCAGACTGTGATGAGAGCGACTTTCTGCAAAGGACCTGCTTCATGATGATGATGATGATTGTTTTAAATACTTAAAGTACAGTACTGTAGCAGTAGTGTGTTCTTTATCCTACTTTGCAGGACTTCATGTTTTCTTCTCTTGCCAAAATATTCTTCCAATTAGATGATGACTACATTAAGAATGGCTTCAATTGTGTTCACCATCATAAAGGCCTCAGTTTTGTTCACAATTATTATATTTTCACAGTCACTAACAATGCATGCCACCGGGAGCTGTTGACTGCATGCCGCCGGCAGCTGTCGACTGCATGCCGCTGGTAGCTGTTGACTGCATGCCACCCGGAGCTGTTAACTGCATGCCGCCGGGAGCTGTTGACTGCATGCCGCCGGGAGCTGTTGATTGCATGCCTCCGGGAGCTGTTGACTGCATGCCGCCGGGAGCTGTTGACTGCATGCCGCCGGGAGCTGTTGACTGCATGCCGCCGGGAGCTGTTGACTGCATGCTGTCGGGAGCTGTTGACTGCATGCCACCGAAAGCTGTTGACTGCATGCCGCCAGGAGCTCTTGACTGCATGCCACCGGGAGCCGTTGACTGCATGCCACCGGGAGCCGCTGACTGCATGCCATCGGGAGCCGTTGACTGCATGCCATTGGGAGCCGTTGACTGCATGCCATTGGGAGCTGTTGACTGCATGCCATCGTGAGCTCTTGACTGCATGCCATCGTGAGCTCTTGACTGCATGCCATCGTGAGCTCTTGACTGCATGCCATCGTGAGCTCTTGACTGCATGCCATCGTGAGCTCTTGACTGCATGCCATCGTGAGCTCTTGACTGCATGCCATCGTGAGCTCTTGACTGCATGCCATTGGGAGCTGTTGACTGCATGCCATCGTGAGCTCTTGACTGCATGCCATTGGGAGCTGTTGACTGCATGCCATCGTGAGCTCTTGACTGCATGCCATTGGGAGCCGTTGACTGCATGCCATTGGGAGCCGTTGACTGCATGCCATCGTGAGCTGTTGACTGCATGCCATAATGAGCTCTTGACTGCATGCCATTGGGAGCCGTTGACTGCATGCCATTGGGAGCCGTTGACTGCATGCCATTGGGAGCCGTTGACTGCATGCCATCATGAGCTGTTGACTGCATGCCATCGTGAGCTCTTGACTGCATGCCACCGGGAGCCGCTGACTGCATGCCATTGGGAGCTGTTGACTGCATGCCATCGGGAGCTGTTGACTGCATGCCATTGGGAGCTGTTGACTGCATGCCATCGTGAGCTGTTGACTTTCTGTTCAGTTCCCTCCACCTCTGATGGTCAGAGGCCATGAATTTGATGTCTGCATGTTTGTTTATTACAGGCTTACTATACAAGGATAAAAGACAGGATCTCTGTGGTAAACTAGTTAAGACATCCGCCTTCTGACATTTCTGAGTGCAGGTGTTTTGTAGATCCCTGAGGGCAAATCTGGAGCTATGGAGTTGATGCTTTGTGCAATACACTCAATGGGCAACCGACTGCTTTACAGACAGACTGAGCTATATGTGATAAAAATGCAGTGCAATGAAGCCTTTAAATACAATTTTTTATATTATCTTGTAGCAGGTCCTTTGCAGAACGTTCATCTCATCTCGGTCTCTCACCAGCTCTTCTGCCTTATGCACTGTCCTATCCAATGTGTTTATTTCCTGTGCCTATCTTTGTGCTGGTCAGACCTTATCCCTTTTTTCTGCTACTACACCTTCTGTTATTATTCTTTCTAATCCGCCCTGCTGCTTGATATGGCCAAAATATTTTAAGTTTCTGTGACAGAAATGTTGTTACTAGCAAAACTTCCTCAAGGTTCAGATCTTTTAGGATGTCAATAATTATTTTCTTCATTTTAATATACTTATTTAAAAAAAAAAAAAAAAAAAACTTTTATACAAAGAAGAAAAATTAGGTGACTGTATACAGTACAACTAACCTCAATATTGGTGGCAGACGACACAGGAGACAAACTTTTGGTAGTCTTGGAACCTTTGATCTCGTCATACACCTCCCAACCCTCGAGGTCCTTCTCCATGGTCATCCGCTTGACAACTTGCTATCAGCCATAAAGGATGAACACAAGAGAAATCCAGTGAGATCAATATCATATGACATGTCTATACTTAATTACTGAAAAAAAAAATTAAAAATAAAAGGGAAGCAATTATATATAACATGCAGCACTCAAATAACAATATAAAACAATGATGAATTTACAACCACAGTGGATATAATGAGAAAATAAAAGCCAACGCAAGATCCTTGTAAAAATACCCTACTGTCATAAAGCAGTATAACAAGAGATATGTAACAAAACCAAGGGAGATCACTCATTTCCACAAGGCAATTAGTGTGAAAACTAATTTGAAGAAGAAAAAAACATGCAAACCACTGGGGAAAAAAACATTTCACATTTATACATATACAATCATTGCAGGCCTTTAAAATGAATGATTTTCTGCACATAAAGGGGTTTAGAAGATTTAATGTTAAATTAGTTTGATTGTGTGGAAAACATGGAGAATGACTAAAACACTTACTAATAAACTACAAATATTTATTAACTAGGACGTATGTAGAAAAGACAGAATTATATCAGATGATAGAATCATTAATGTACAGCTCATGGAGAAAGCTAAAGTGAATCAGAAGTGAGGAAAGGACACTGGCACTGGACAGGATAAGTATTAAGCAAATCTGATAATAAAATACCTAGAATGTTCTTTCACTGGAACTCACAGGTCTAAACAGATAGAGAGATAAGAATAGAGAAGTGAATTAGAGACATGCAAAATATAAAGAAAATGAGTAGGAAGTTGTGGCATATGGAATCAGGACAGCTTAGTGTAAGTTGGTTGAGGGCCTATGTTTTGAAGGGTAATCAAATAGCCATCGATTTTTTTCTAACCATAAACAACTATAACACAAAGTTATTAACACATTCACAACTTCAACTACATTGAAAAAAAAAAAAGCACGTAGATTGTAGTATGATTAAATTGCTGTAAAAGGCAACATAATTTTAATCGGGCAACACAATCACATCAAATGCAGGCATGTTGTAATGTGTTATGTCAAAATAATGATAAGATAATATATACTTTTAAAAAAAATACTTAATCAGATGAAATGAAAATAAATATTCTCTTGAGAATAGTGAACTGCTGAAGCTATGGAGTTCATGTATTGTGCAATGCTCTCAACAGACAGCTTTTATCTTGTTTAAACTGCACTAAAACTAACTCAGGTAATAAATGTAGGTATAAAGTTCACTAATTCTATTCATGTGTCTCAATCAGAAACTATAATATATTTTATCAAATAAAACAAATTAGACATTAGAATATTATGTGGTATTTTAACCCATGAGGACAAAAATGATTTACTGCACAATTTAAAGTCTGGCATATGTCATTGTATCTTGTTAGGCCTTTACAGTCGAATTTACATTAGCAAGCGCCTAAGCACAATAATGGATTTTTTAAATGACATTTGCTATTAAAACATTGTTAACCAGAATTAGCAGGTCAATTTCATGTTTATATACATAAATGCTAGAATTTTCCCAGATTTAACTAAATGATAAAGTGACTTAACGACATTCCAAAATATAACTTTTTTTTCTTTCTGCATTCATCCTTAAAAGGGTGTTTGGCATTCTGTGTTGTGGTTTATTTACAGCTAGGCTATGATATCTGCACCTTTTCGCTCAACACATCTGATTTCAGTAAAACCTCAATTAGTTGCCTTTCATGACACGCAAGTTTAGGGGTAGTTGGAATATTCCTCCCTCACCACACCCCTTTCCCCCACCTTTTAATGGAGCCCTGGAACCCATACAGGGAAATTAACATTCCATTTCAAAAGCCATATTCTAAACTGATTACCTTAAATGAGATTAATAAATTTGACAAATAAGAGAGATACAAACAGCCCAGTGTTTTCACAACTGTATTTATCAATAAAAGAAAAGACAAAGGAAACAAAACTACACAAATCAGACAAATATTTCTGGCAGAAAATATTATGTCCAAACACAAAACATAATGGAGGCAGTACTGATATATAAAGATCCTGCAAAGAATCAAGTACAAGCACGTTGTATGAGGCTTACATAGACATCAGTTTAGGTAAAAATCCCCAACAATTATTATATCACAAAAGATAATCAGAATGCATAAAGAAAATTTTAACAAGATGTCTCTTGATAAATCGCTTTTTAAGTGCTGGAAATGTACACATTTGAGTAGTGATATATAAAGGAGCTTCAAATGGGAACCTTAAAAATTATATAGGTCTTTTGGTTTCATTGATTAAAAAAATAAAGCTTCAAATGGGAACCTTAAAAATGATTTAGGTCTTTTGGTTTCATTGATAAAAAAAAAAAAAAACATAACAGAATGCTGCTCCTCTTTGGTGCATGTCAAAAGTGGGGTGGCCATGTTTAAACTGTCATTATGATGTCACCATGTTTGTCTATAGAGTGATGTCATGTGCTGAACACTCTTTGACATCCTTAACCAAAATACTGACAGGTTATAAGACAATGGCATGGTTACAGAAATTTGAATCCATCTTTTGAGGTTTTCATTTAATGCCCCCTTATAGACCTCCACAAAACAGGGGAATATAAATGTACCAGTAAGAATACAAAAGGCAGGAGGAGCTTTCATTAAATTATGGAGAGTTTGTAAAAGTAAACTAAAGTTAAGCCTATTAGCAAACTTACAGTTTACAGTAAACTTCAAACATTCACTGCCTGATGTTGCATCCTATGACATGCTTGTTGGGGAGAAAGGAGGAGGTGGGTGGGGGAGCGGGTAAATTTTGTGTTCTCCCAAACGGAGCCCTGGAATCCACACAGAGAGAACATGGTTCAAGTGGGAAGACTTGCTTTGACAAAGAACACACCAGACTGGAAAGACTGATCTAGCATAAGATAGGCAGGCTCATATAGCTGAATTATAATTATAGACCAACCCAAGCTCTAGCAGAACACAGTATAAGGTCATATATAAGTCCCGGTACACGTAACATTAATCTCCCTACGCCCCGCCAAAACACACACTAGCTCACTTCTGATTGGTAGTTCCAGAACCTGTCACCTTGGCACGAGGTTATGGCTAGTTTTGCAATGCTGTTGATATCGTGTGTTGTATATATTTCAGCACGCCAGCACTTTTAACACTTCCAAAAAATGGAGAAACTGTCCCTAACCCCCTCCCCTTCCACCGACCAGAGAGTGCTGCAACCTATGTCACAGGCATTCTTTTTCTCAGAATGAAAACGTAAATGCAAGACAACACAGAAAGCAAACAACACCTGTAACCTTCAGGAAAGTATACCCGCCCAACAAACTTGAGAATTAAAAGTGACCTACTTTGTTTAGGGAGATTTACGTGAACCTAACCATAGGTCCCCATGAAAACTGTCAGATTTTCTAACAAACTGTCTAGGAACAATCTCACCAGCTAACCATCATAAAATCGATTTGTCTTGAAGATGTTTTATTTCTCATAAAAGGATAAAGCTATTCTGTGCAGTGTATACTTGATAATTCAGTAAAATATTTACCAACTGTGCCTGTGTACACACCAGCTAGACAGATCAAGGGGAGAACACACTATCTAGTTTCTAATCTTGAAACTGTCACTGGATAACTAATGTATATATGTTTTCAGTGATCTGTCTCTATATTTATATATATATCATCATCATAATCTACTTCTATTGTTAAGCATCGTGGGAAGGAATCATTTGCAATCTAATGCACGCTGGCTGCATCTGGCTATTGTCATACCGGGAAGGCATAGTGTTTAATGTTGTCGATCCATATATTCCGCGGCCGTCCTCTTGCTCTAGTAGCTGACCTTTTGATATATATATAAATATATATACACACATGGTTGCGTATCCTTTACAGGAAGTCAAAACAACCCCATAATTTTTTGGCTGTTGTGTTGTTTTCTAGGCAAATTTTACATTCAATAGTTTGCCACTGCTTACTGAACGGTCAGCTCTCAGTATCACTGTCAACCCCCCCCCCCCCCCCCTCTTCCCCCCGTCGAAGTCGGAGTGCATCTGCCTGAGAGGCAAGGAACTAGCAATCTGCATACAAATAAGTCAGATCTGTAAAACAGATGCACACGCAAAACTCAGGTCCTGGAACAAAGCCAAAGTCCAGAAATGGATGAACAACCAGGTGTTTCCACGGGAGTTTAAAGCCGGAGAACGCAAACAACAAACAATAACTGTCAAAGCCAACGCAAGACAAATCATCCGCAGCTGGGATCAAAATTAGCAGTACAAAACGCCTTCACAACGTCTAAGCCACAGATGCCGATGTATATATAAATGTGTACATATGTGTGTGTGTGTGTGTGTATACATAAAAACAATATTCAATTTATAGTTATCTCTATAATAAAACATGTAACATAGTAACAGCAAAATATCTTGAGCAGTAAAAAAAAAAACATCTTTCAGAGCACAACAAACATGAAAACAGTCAAAATAAGACTGTGAGAGCGTAACTAAGGAAGCAAGATGCAGCAAAGGAAACATTTGTGTACACACCTGGCCACCTTGGCAGCACAGTCTGCACAGTTTCTGCTGTAACTGACAGGACTAGCAGGAATGCAACAGGCAAAGAGGCAAAAGCTGAATGTCTCATCAATCCTAACAAGAATCTATTTTTATACTGAACTAATAACAATGGCTTCCTCTGCATCTGTCCCAGACAGTTGTCAATTTAACTCATTGATTTGTATGTATGTGTTTACCTTCAACAATAAATCTTCAAATCCAGAGAGATTGAAAAATAGCATTATGGGATTAAAAGGAATTAAGCTCATGTTTGTGATTGCATTTAAAAAAAAAATAACAGCTGCATTGAAAAGAAAGTCTTTAGAAAAGCATATTGTATCAGGAATAACCAGTAAACACATGGTGTTTTAACTGGTACTGAATGAGTGACAATGGAGGTTGACGTGGTGTGGGTTACATTTAGGCTGCAATATCTGCACTTTTCAACCCATCGTTTGGCTAACAAATGTA